TTAAAACAGTAAATACTGTTCTTTATCACTCATGGTTCGAGAAGGGTTGACCTCCACTCTGCCAGCTCTGTCCCGGCCACCTCTGTGGATATGACCTCTCAGCTCTCTGGTTTCCAGGGTTCTCTTTTGTAAGTTGGGGCAGAAATGGGTGAACTGAACAGTTTTTTCAGATTTTCTTTTTGACCATGATGAGAAAATAGATCTATGCCATGACCCAGGACCTGTTTCTCCTTGTTCCAGGCAAAGCAGTTTGGCATTTCCTATTCTCATCCTTCTGTTCTCACCCCTTCCATCTAGAAAGAAGACAGTGGCTTGCGCCCACTACTCTGGTTTTGTGACCCGCAGAGGGCATGGATCTGAAGTGGGAGACCCAGTTAGGTGGTCTTTAAAGTGATTTCCTGCCACTGGAGGGACTTGAACAAGATTCCTGTGTGTGCATCCAGAGCCAGGGCGGGCTGGGCTGAGCTCTACAGATCATGAGTGTGTGCAGAAGTCATTATGCTCTTTCTGTGACTCGTCTAAGCAGGGGGTTTTCTCCTTTTATTTCTTAGAATAAAAAATGTTGAAAACCCAAGATATTCACGTGAGGGCGCCACTGCTTATCCTCTCCATCGTGGTGTCAGGGGTGGCTGGGGCCCGTGTCAGGAGCAACTCTCCGCGTGGGATTCTCAGGGGGTGCCTGCGCCCCGTGGAGGAGATTGCTCAGTCTGGGGTGACTTGAGGGCATGGTCCTGGCTTTGCAGCTCCCCTGCTTCTGCTCCAGGGCACCCTCATCCTCACTTGCTGCTGCAAACCACCTCAGCATCCAGCCTAGAGGCAAATCATGTCTGGCGTCTTCTTGGGGGTTATCTGGGCACTCATGGGCTTTTACATGAAACACTGAGCATTGAATGTAGTTCAGCTTGTTACCATGAGTTACAAAAATGGAAGTAGATTCTGTTTAAAGAAAAGAAAAAGCTCTCTGCTCCCCTCTTAGAAAAAGCACCATCCCCCTAAACACTTCCAAGCGACTTGTCTCCTTCCTGGCAGGTGACGGGTACTGAAGAAGGGGCCTGCGGAAGACCTCTCAGAGCAGATGCTGCTCAGGATGAACTGCCATGGAGGTGTTTGGTGGGAGCGAATGCCAGTCCCTTCTTTCTGATAATGCAGAATTTCTAATAATGCAGAAATTAATAATGCAGAATTCAGCCACATCAGCCGGAAGCTTACCTGTCACTTCCTGAGAACATACAGAACCCCATTGGTCAGGAGGAAGTTCCCATCGCAGGGGAGCTGACATGTCCAAAGGTGACCGGCTCCCTTTCATGAGGTTCCTAGTTGACATCCTGTATGTTGCAGAAGGGAGGGGTGCCTTGAGAAGAGGGGGTACAGGCAGGGAGATCCACAACAGCATCGCAGGTGAACTGGAGGTGGGTTCTGTGCTTCATAAAAGGGCTCTTCACATTTACACGTTCAGTCACCGCCCATCATGTTCTGGGATTGCGTTTTATTACAGAAAGTCAGTGTTCACTTAGATCTTAGGAGGACAGCTGCAGAAGGCAAGGCACCAGGAGTCCCGTTAGGTAGCAGAGCATCAGCTGACAGGGCCTCACCGTGGCCTCAGCACTGCTGACCTGCAGTTGTTTTCCAGGCACATGGCGAACCCTACTTGGCATTTCCATGAGAAGATGGGTTGGAAATAACCCTTGGTGGCCTCTGAAGCCATCAGTTCTCATTATCTCCAGAAAGTGTGTTTTCTAGCACAGCTGCCACACTGACCCAACTAATTAAATTTCAATCCCAGCAACTTAGGAGGCTGAGGCAGGAGAATCGCTGGAACCTGGGAGGTGGAGGTTGCAGTGAGCCAAGACTGTGCCTTTGCACTTTAGCCTAGATGACGAAAGGGAAACTCCATCTCAAAAAAAAATAAAAATAAAAATAAAAATAAAAAATTTATCAATCCTCAGAGTAGACCTCAACTAGAAGATACAGATGCCGCAGGCCAGGTGCAGGGGCTCACGCCTGTAATCCCAGCTGTTTCTGAGGCCAAGGCTGCAGGATCACCTGAGATCAGGAGTTCAAGACCAGCCTGGCCAACATGGTGAAACCCTATCTCTACTAAAAGTACAAAAATTAGCCGGCGTGGTGGCATGCATCTGTAGTCCCAGCTACCTGGGAGGCTGAGGCAGGGGAATCACTTGAACCCGGGAGGTAGAGGTCGCAGTGAGCTGAGATTGCACCATTGCACTCCAGCCTGGGCAACAGAGCGAGACTTTGCCAGAAAGAAAAAAAACAAACAAAACAAAAAATATTTGCTTGTCATCATCTCCCTGGTACCTTTCCAGTGGGGTGATGAGTTCAAGGAAAGTTTTCTAAAAGGCTTCACAGAATAATAATTTTTTTAAACATGTGTCAGCTAGGCACATTTCAAAGCACACCGCGTGTTTTGATCCAGGATATTAACAACAAAAATTTGTCAGTCCCCACTGAGTCATCCATGTTTACTCAAGTTGGATTTAGCTGTTGAGTTATCTAGAATTTCTGGTGGAAAATCATCTGAGCTGAAATTCCGATAGGCTTTCAAGAAAAAGGAAATGCTCATTCTTTAAGAGATCCTTAAATACATTGTAAGGGAGATTTGAAAGATTTTGAAATCTCGGGAATTAGAAAATTTAAGGATTTCTTTCCATTTTCTTGTTTGTTTGTAGAGATTTTAAAGAAATCAGATGAGCCCCATGTTTCTTAAGATGGATTTAATCTATCTGGTAGTGAGGTAGAAATAGCAGCGGCTGGGGAGTCCATTCTCCAGGGGGCTCTAGGGCCGGCAGGTCTTAGACCCAGGCTCAGGGCTCAGAACTCAAAGAAGTTTAGGGGTTCAGGAATGCTTAGGGTTGCTTAGGTCCTAGGACTATTAATATTATTCAGGTAAACTATTTTGTGAGCTGGTGTAGCGTCTAAAAGCCATTGACGATTTTTGTTTTCATGGGAAAGTATATTCCAAGTTCCAAGCCAATTTATGGAATGTAATCTGTTGGTAGAGAGTATGCACCATCTATTTTGCCATAGAAAATGTGGTTTGAACATTTCACATGTGTTATAAGACATATATGTATTAGAGCTTTTAGTACAAAGAGTAATGCCCATTACTCAGAACAAGTACTGTGTCACATGTCCAACAAGTGTTTGTTAATAGAACTGGCTAATAGGTTTTTATTTTAAAATTATTTTTAAAGCATGCAATCCCTAAATAATCCAAGTTATCCTACTATTGATTATACACACACACACACACACACACACACACTTATTTATTTTTATTTTTTATTTTTGGGATGGAGTTTCGCTTTTGTCTCCCGGGCTGGAGTGCAGTGGCATGATCTCGGCTCACTGCAACCTCCGCCTCCCAGGTTCAAGTGACTCTTTGGCCTCCGCCTCCCAAGTAGCTGGGACTACAGATGCACGCCACCACGCCCAACTAATTTTGGAATTTTTAGTAGAGGCAGAGTTTCACCATGTTGGCCAGGCTGGTCTCAAACTCCTGACCTCAGGTGATCCGCCCACCTTGGCCTCCCAAAGTGTTGGAATTACAGGCGTGAGCCACTGCACCCTGCCAGATATATATTTTTGAAAGTTCCATTATTCTGTTTTTCTATTAGAAGTACATGACATCTTAATTGACTTAAGACCCCAATTTTATCCCAAATTATCCACAAGAAAGGACGGGGAGCATCAGGTGGCTTGCAAAGGTGAGTGAGGAGGGCTCATTAGCACCATGTAGCACTGGCTCCTGGCTCAGCTGAACTCCACACAGGGACTCACGTCACAGCAGGAGCCTTTCCTCACAGTTGGACATAGTGGGGACTAAAAGGGAGGGGGGCTTTTCTCTGAGGCCCTTAGGTGTCAGCATGAGGTCCCTGGGGGAGAGTTTGGGTCCTCAGTGCCTTAGAGGCTGTCTCTGTTACCCTTGTCACCTCTACCTCCCCCTTCCCGGGCAGTGATGGTCCCTGGTGGTACAGGACCCTGCCTGGCACTGTGCCACAGCAAAAGCCTCGAGCCGTCACGGTGCTCGCAGGCGTTACTGGGAGACAGGACATTCGCATGAAGACAGAAACTACAGTAGGTGGTCTAGAAAAAGGATGAAATGTGTGAGGGAAATGTTCTGGGTTAGTGGTGATGTTTGCACGATCTTGCGATTATACTAAAAACACAGAATTATACATTTTTAAAGGGTTAATCTAGGTATGTAAATTATATCTCAATTTTAAAGAAATATGTGAAGGAGCAAGTTTGAGGAATTCAGAGGAAAGGGGGCCCTCAGCTCCTATGAAATGTGTTGGTAATGGGAAGGTAGGAAGGCCTTAGACAAGCGGAGAGAGGCAGAGAGGGGCAGAGGGAGACGTGGAGGGTGGGAAGCGCCTGGCAAGTTCTGCCAGGGAGGGAGGAGGCTGAATTGCCAGAGAGGGAGAGAGACAGGGAGAAGGGAAAAGAAGAATGGAAACCATTTGGGACCAGATTATGGAGGCTTTAGATGCTGGTCTGAGGGGCAAATGGGGAAGAAAAAGCTGTGGATGGTCTGACACCTGGGATCTGACACGGGCCTGGCATTGTATGGGATGGGCAGGAACAGGAACATTCAGCAGGGGGAGAGCTCTTCGCAGCCATCATCACATTTTGGGTTAGATGGTGAAGGTGGCGATAAAGTGAAGAAGGAGGATAGATTCTGTGGATCCTGCAGAGGAAGAGTGACAGGGCTTGAGGCCCGCCTGGATCTGCAGAGTAAGGAAGTCAAAGGCCTCTCCAGAGGTGTAAGCTTGGGGCTCTCCTGGGGAAGCTTCAACTAAAATAAAGGCCAGTTTGGGGAGAAAGATGTTGACTCCAATCTCAAGCATTTGGGTTGGGACAGTGGTGATGGGATATGTAAGTGGGAACATGGAGCCAAGCATACACCATGGTGTACCCAGAAGCGGTCGCATTTGTGGCCAAGGAAACTAAGGCCCACAGGCTCTGTGACCTGCCTGAGGTTACAGAACCAGCTGCAGGCAAGCGGGAACCAGATTCCTGGCTAAACCTCCTTCTGCCTGGCAAGCAGCTGGTTCAGCTGTGGGGCTAGTCCTTGGGAGGGTGACGGGCACTGGAGAGTTGAGTCCATAGAAGAGGCAGGAGTAGAAGGCAATGGAGCGGTGAAGTCTCTGCAGGGGAACAGAGGAGAGAGCAAAGGCCAAAGGGCAGGGAAAGGAGTCTTGCCATGTGTCCTCATTTGCGGGATGTGAGAAGGAAGCAGATTGCAAGCAGACGTCAGCTGGAATAAAGACAGCAGTGTCACCGAGGCCAAAGGGAGACAGCACTGCATAGAAGCATCAGAGACGCCCAACTGTACGCTTGTCTGCCTCCTGCAATACAGACAGCTGCACGGATCCAGGGGCACGGGGTGCTCAACCGTGTCAGATGCTTCAGGAATGTTAAAAGAGAATGCAGCCAGGCCGCAGGATTTGCCACTGGAGATCATGGAGAGCGCATTTCAGAAGCATGCTGTGAAGGGAAGCTGACAGAGAGTGGGAAGTGAGGAAATGGAAGACGGGAGGACAGACCACTCTTGAGATACTTGGCAATGAGAAGAATGAGTGCTTAAAGATGAACAGAGACAAGCCAATGAGAGGAATGAGCGCTTAAAGATGAAGAGAGAGACAAGGAAGGTGAGTTTTTGTTTGTTTGTTTGTTTGTTTGTTTTCAAAGTAGCAGTATGGTTTGGTGGCCTACAGAAACAACTGGTGGGAAGAAATTGAAGATGCAAGAGATCATAAAAGAACTGGGTCCTGGGTCATGGAGGAGAGAAGGGGCTGGGTCCTGGGTCTTGGAGGAGAGGTCTTGGAGGAGAGAAGGGCTGGTTCTCGGGTCATGGAGGAGAGTAGGAGCTGGTTCCCAGGGTCATGGAGGAGAGTAGGGGCTGGTTCCTGTGGGCTGCGGGAGGAGAGAAGGGGCTGGGTCCTGGGACCTGGGTCCTGGAGGAGAGGATGGCCTAAGTGCTGGGTCCTGGGTCACAGAGGAGAGAAGGGGCTGGATCCTGGGTCATGGAGGAGAGAGGGGCTGGTTCCTGGGCTGGAGGAGAGAAGGGGCTGGGTCCTGGGTCTTGGAGGAGAGAAGGGCCTGATCCTGGTCATGGAGGAGAGAGGAGCTGATCTCCGGGTCATGGAGGAGAGAAGGGGCTGGGTCCTGGGACCTGGGTCCTGGAGGAGAGGATGGCCTGGCGCTGGGTCCTGGGTCACAGAGGAGAGAAGGGGCTGGATCCTGGGGTCATGGAGGAGAGAAGGGGCTGGGTCCTGGGTCTTGGAGGAGAGAAGGGGCTGGTTCCCAGGGTCATGGAGGAGAGAAGGGGCCAGGTCCTGCCTGGGTCATGCAGGAGATGGGGTCAAGCCTACTTTAGCAGGTAGGAATGCTCTGTAAAGGGAGAGAACGGTAGATGAAGGGAGAGAACAGTAGATGGATGAGGCAGAACTTTTTAGTGGACAGGAGAAGGATGACAGAGCTCTAGCTGGAGGGCCTCACTCTTGCACTAATGGAGGAGATGGAATTTTCTATTGTGATTATCTAGTGGATGCTCATTTCCCCCTTCTTCCTGACCAACAGAACTCCAATATTATTTGGAGCAGGAATGTGCCCAGCTAAAACACCATGCTTCCCACCCTTCTTTTTAGCCAGCTGTGGTTATGTGACTTAACTTCGATCATGGAAAAATCATAGATTGGGGTTTCTGGGAATCTCTTTAAAGGGAGCAGTCATAAGTGTCTGTGCCCGTTTTGCTCCTCCCCGTTTCTCCTTCTTTCAGCATACAATGCCACACAGACCTCCAGAATAGGTGGCGGGGACCAGGATGAATAGAAATTCATTTGAAACTCTCTCTCTTTTGGACAAGAATATGCTAGACTCATATGTATAGTGCATATGTACTTAATAGAAAACCTAAGGATATGGCTTTGATGGCTGGTGCTGTAGCAGCTGTATTGTGACCATGAAGTGACCTTGAGGATGAAAGCCAGTGCTAAGAATGGCAGAACAGAGAGAAGGAAGCCAGGACATTGATGACACTATAGAACCACCACAATGTCCCTGGATTGCCTTACCTCTGCATTTGTTTTGCATAACAGAAAAGACATTTCTTTTCCTAAGCTGCTGTTATTTGGGGATTTTGTTATGGGTAGCCAAACATAGTTCTTATCTGGTGAGGATGGGGTGTGTGTGTGCGCACATGCGTATGTGTTAAAAGGTGGCATATAGAACATGCTGGATTAGGGACTTTAAATTTCTGCATTGCTCTAAAGTAGAACTGAAACAGTTGACAACCACAGCTGAGGAAACCAATCTGATATCTATGATCAGAAAACCCTCATTCTTATACAGATGGGTGTCCACACCGTGCATATTCACCAAGTGCAAGTCGATTACCCCCTTCCCTACATCTTGTTGATCAAGACAATATCTACTTTATAAAGATTGAAATTTACATTTTATGCCATTAGCAGTTTTTATTGAAGGAGGTAAATGATTTTTTAATTCATCTCAGGTTTAAGATAAATTCTGCAAACATTGATTAAAACATGAAAGGCACTTAAATAAGCATACATATCTCTGAAAACATGAAATGTTATGTACATGTGTTCACCATTGTTTGGATTTAGAGCTTTGAATTCACTAAGAGTTTAAAATGTTTTTTTTTTTTTTTCCTCATGCCAAAACGTCTGACTGTGAAATATCAACCCAGAATGCTCTGGGAAAAAGTTAGCAAGGCTTCAACCGTTTTTGTTTTTGTTTTTGTTTTTTAATTGCAGGCTTAAAGCATCTCTATTCATATAGAACCCAGAAAACATGTCTCCTTGGATATGCCATGTGGCCTCTCGGTTTCACCAGGCATCTTGAAACATCGAGGGCAAGTAAGAGAGTTGTCCATTCATATCTTCATCACCAATATTAAGTTTCTTTTAAAAATTCAACATTTGCTGGGTAGAAAAGTCTCTACAATAGCACAACATGCTTGTCTGCTTTTCAGTCCATTCTGTGTGTAATTCCTGGGGTTTATGAGATCGAAAAATAACTCCAGTTGTGGCCATTTATCTAGTTTTGTGGCAGCTGCAAATTCGGTTGCTTCAGAAACCACCTAATCTTCAATCTCCCAACTACTTTTAATGGCTGGATTAATGGACTAACCACTTACATGTGAAAATCCATCTTGGCTCTATTATCAGGACCGTGGACAATGGGCAGATGGACAGACGATTTACTGATTTACAAACTATTACCATCTTTGACATTTCTTTGAAAAAAAAAAAGACGCTTCAGATCGTTTCGTATTTCAACGATGACTTAGTTTTATGAGAGAGAGAGAGAGATGTTTTAAGGGAACAAATGAGAGGCAGTGTTTTTTTGTTTTTTGTTTTTTAAATGAGATACCTTGGAAAACAGCATACAACGCCACATGCAGACCTCCACAATCAGGAGGAATACGAATTCATTTGAAAGTCTCTCTCTTTTGGACAAGAATATGCTAGACTCCCACAGCTCATATGTACTTGATAGAAAATGTAAACATTGATTTGATTTCGGCTCAGCTTCAAAACAGTAGTAAGGCATTAATTAGAAAAGATTATTCCATAGTTGTTCTCCTTTATTCTTTTCTTACCTGGTCAAGAACTAAATGAACTCAATGTACTCTTGTGGATGAATGAAGGGCAACTCCCTCTGGGAAGATTCCTTATATTAACGCAAACCCCTGATCCCTTCCAGTGAACTCAAAACCCTAAGCCGAGGCTGAGAAGCAGTCGGTTCTTGGCATGAAGAGGATGGCTGTAGGCTGAGGTCTGAAGGGAGAAGTCAGGTTAAAGAGAAGTGTTTGCTGCAGGGTAGTGGGGTGGACAGAGACCTGAGACCCTCGGGAGTAGCCCGCTGGGCTGTGCCCTTCAAAGTCTCTGACCAGTTCTGGTTCCAGCATTTTCTGGGCAATGCCATCACAAGCCCCTGTGTCAAGGACACCTACTGCCAATTTTGGCAAGTTTATTTTTCCTGCTGTTGAGTCAGACAAGAAGGCCCAGGCCCAGGATGTGAAGAGCTTAGGGGCTTTCAAAGCCACAGAGGGCCTGGCCTATCAGGTCTCCGCAGGAACACGGCTCATAAAATGCATTTGCTCCTCAGTTGGAGCCCCAGCTGGCAATCCTAGACAGAACAGGCGAAGGCCACAGGAAGCTGCGGGGTGGCGTGGAACTCTGAAAAGACTCCTCCCTTGTGCCATTCCGGGCCAGAACAGAGATTTCACATTTTGCTGGCTTAGGGTGGGGACATGGCATTGCCTTCACAGGCTGAAATCATCACATTTGAAAGCTGGAACAAGCATCTTTTGAATGGGCATAACGCGATTGCTGGGCCGGTTTCTGCAGAACGGAGTGACAGGTCACCGTGCCCTCCCAGATGCAGGCTGCCTGCCGCCTTCCTGCAGCATCCCCTGCTTCCTGGGGACCAGGGCACTGACGCTCAGTTCAGCCTTCAAGTGCCGGGAAACCTGTGGTCCCCCTGAGGCACTCCTGGGAGAGTGAATGCAGATGAGTTTTTAAACAGCAGAATGAGTGTGTGTTTGTGTGTGTTTGATAATGGTCCAAACTTTAATAGCATGGTAAAATATTTACTTTACTTTTTATAGCTAGCATGTAATCAATCGCTAACACACTGAAAGAAGTTAGAAACACCAATGTCTACTCAGCCACAGCTAGAAGGAACCATTCGACATTTACAAACGTAAGTGTATACATATTTATGTACATGTCACATATAGGTTCATGGGAAATGCAGAGCCATCACCTCGCCAGGTGAGCCGCCGCCCGACCATCCCTCCTGCCCAGCAGAAGTGGGCGCCCCTGGGGGCATCATCACTCATTCCTCTGACGCTGGGTTTCTTTTCCAAGCCACAGAGGACAGGGCTGTGGGCTTCTCTCTGGTTTTGGTTTTAAAGACATTAATTATCTAGCAAATTGGCCCATTCAAGTTAATCTCCCTCTTGACCCTGAATAGCCTTGATTCATGTCACCAAAATTCCCAATCCCCTATTGGATAAATGATGCCAAGTGTGTACCAGGGACAGGGTTGGAGGTGGGGAAATTGATAATAAATATTAAGTAAATGTCCATTGTGTGAAGACAAGTGAGTGGTGATCCTGGCGTCTGGGATTTTTTCATAATGAGGTGGGAAGAAGGGCTGGTCACAGGAGAGCGGCAACCACTGAATTAGGAAATGTTAGAAGTGGGAGGCCTCTGAAGACCATGATTTTCCTTTCCAGGGGATGGAGTTGGGAATGGACTGGGCCATACATGGGACCGGAGTGAGGGTTGAGCTGGATTCATGGTCACCCATGGAGCACCCTTCTCGTCAGGGCCAACTCCTTCCTGGGGCTTCTGGGGAGCAGGTGGAAGGAGGCAAGGAGCAGAGATGGTTTGGGAAGTTGTGGAAGCTCCTTTGTGGGGCTGTCACTTTAGCCTCACATGTAGTGTGGGCAAGGAGAATCCCTGTGAGTTGGTGCCTGTGCGCGTGTGTGGTTGTGTGAGGACGGCACTGCCCCACTAATTACAAATTGCAGGTGGGTACAAGTAGTTAGGTGGTTCAGAAAATCAAAACTGGTTACACAGAATGGACCTATTCCATTTTCTATACGTGCATGCAGTGTGAAAATAAAGACGGCTCGATGATATCACAGTGCAAGAACTCTGCAGGCCTTTAGAGCATGAATTATTTTGTGACCTGTGAATTGCCTTCATTCCAAATAAAACTTGTATGCTTTTCTTTTTCCTGTCTTCTTTTCTTTTATATAAAATGGCAACTCTTTCTCAGGAGAAATAGCCTTTTTCCATAAATGCAAATCATTTGGGGTTACTTGTATCAATGGTCAATGTGCCTTGTCTTTCATATGGTTATAAGGAGCAGGGCCATGGCTTTGAACTTGAGTAGCTTTAGCTGTTAGATTTATGGTCTGGAAAGAAGTCAGGAGAGGAGTTGCTGTGTCCCCTGTGGCTGCCTCCATAGTGACACACTCCCTAAGTCCAGAGCCAGTTCCCTTCTAGGCGATCAATGAAAGTGAACAAAGTGGTCATTTTCTTAATTTCATTCTGATTAGTGTCCAGGGAAGGATGATGACCTATATGATCTCAGCCCAAACCATAAGCCGATTTCTCCTCCTCATTTTCTGATACCTTTACTAGGACCTCAAGTTGCACTTCTGGGATTAAGTGACACGTTAACACAGAAGGAAGCCCAGAAGACTCCGGACAGAACCTCTTCTCCCTGAGCGTCCCCTCCCCTCTCCCTACTTCCAATCAACTGTTGCACGGCAAACTGCAAACGCAGAGCAAATTCCACTAAGATGGTGTCAAAAAGAGATAATTAAAGAAAAAAAATGATGGAAAGCTCGCCTCTTATCTAAGAAATCATTCTGTAAATATCTCCCAGTTCAAAGATTTGGCTTTTGGTTGTTTGGGGACCATTCCTCACTAGGGATATTTCAAGAAAAAACTCTCCCCATCTGGATGATTTTGTTTTCATTTATGCTATTAAGGATAACTGTACGCAGATCCAAAATAACAGAGGATGTCATTTTATTGGCTGTCCACGGGAAGTTTCATCACACACGGAGGTGAAGACTGTGGGGGGCGCGGCACACAATACCTCAACACGAGACCTCATCGAGCGGCCAAACAGAAGGTGAAATGACCCCCGACACGACGGAACCCCAGCCGCCCTCTGCAGCCCTGGTGTCACCTTTCCACAGACGCCACAGCCCAATAAGCTGAGTGAGGACACTGTCCATCAGTCTCGGTTCGTTGCACTGTCTTCCAACAAAACAGCACTTAAAAATTCACAAAATTAAAAAAAGAAAAAGAAAGCAGCACTTCCTTGGAAACAGCAACACCACTGTAACACAGACGGCAGCGTGGCATGCAGATCCACACCTGGTCGGTTTTTCCCCTTTAGGATTTTTTTTTCTTTTTTTTTAATTAACAAATGGAATGGCATGTCTGTTTCAAATATTAGTAGCATAACACGTAAGTGCAGTTGCAGTCTGGCCACAAGCGTCAGAAGCCTTCCGTGTGTCTGTCACAAGGGCGGGCAGACACGCTCCAATTCTACCCCTGGAGGGTCCCCGTCCCCAGGCCCACCAAAAGAAAGCAGCCACTTCTTTGTTTCCATTGGTGTCAAAGCACTCAGGTTGGGGAAGAAAATTCAAATGAAACCAAGCTCTCAGCATCCGGGGCCGGCAGCCCTGTGCCGTTCTAAGTGGTCTCTGTCCCCCAGACCTGGGGCTGTTATCTCCACCGTGGCATTGGCTGGGGGAGTCGCTGTGGAGCACACCCCTCCGCTCACTCCTGCTGCCCGTGGAGGAGCCTCTGGTGCCTCCCCAGCCTGGGGCCACACGGGTCACACGGAGCTGAGCTTCACCAGGCCGCGCACGGAGTCCTCGTGCAGGGAGTCCTGGCTGGCCAGGCCCAGCACATGCATGGTGCGGCTGTGCGCCAGGGGGCTGCCCGCCGCCAGCAGCCTGGGGGGCGAGGGCGCCTCATCGGGCGTCAGGAACTGGTGGCCCATGTGCTCATCTTTCCGGGGCATCACGTCCGCAAGCGTGGCCTCGGCGAGGTTGGGCATGGAGGCGGGCGGCGTGGGCGGGCCCAGTGTGAGGCTGGCGCAGGGCGTGCCCAGGCCGGGCTTCCCGGGTAGGTGCAGCTCATCGCTGGTGAGGCTGGGCTCACTCTGCAGCAAGGGGGTGGCCGCGGCCTGCAAAACGAATTTGGTGCTCTGAATGCACTGGTCTTGGTCGCACTGGAGAGCGGGAGGCGCCAGCAAAGAGAAGGTGGAGAGGAGGGGGCAGAGGTGGGGAGGGACGGGGACAGGGCATGGGCGGGGAGGGCGGGGTGCGAGAAGAGAGAAACCGTTAGTGACACCTCAGTCAGCCAGGCAGGGAGCCCGTAGAGTGGCCCAGGTGCATTGGGAGAGACACCAAGGGTCTGGTGCTGCAATTGCCTCTGTTCAGTTGAAGTTACCACGGGTGCCCGGTCATAACATGCAGCACTGGTCATGAAGCCAGTGGCCTTGGTTCCCAATTTAAAGGACACAATTGAAAAATCTCTTGGACAGAGTCACAGGCCACCTACAGCAGTGGGTGGCTGTTTCTTGTATGCTGAAAGCCATTTTTTAAACCCCATTGTTTTAAAAATACAGGAGTTGTACACCCATGTTCATAGCAATGTTATTGATAGTAAGTCAAAAGTCAAAAGCAACTCAAGTGTCTACTGATGGACGACAGCAGGGACAAGGTGCAGTGTAGTCACACAATGTTAGTGATTCAGCCTTAAAAAGGAAGTGCATTTGGACACATCCACGAGATGGGTGGACCTTGAGGACAGCATGCTAAGTGAAACAAGCCAGTCACAAAAAGATGAATAACTGTGATTCCACTGATACGAGGTCCCTGGAGGGTCATGTTCTTAGAGAGAAGGAAGAATGGTGGCTGCTGGGGCGGGGGGCGGGAGGAGGAGGGAGCTGGTGTTTAAGGCATGCAGAGTTTCAGCCAGGGAAGATGAAGAAGCCCTGGAGATGGGTGGTGGTGGTGGTTGCAGAACAACATCAGTGGATTTAATACCACTGAATTTATACTTACAAATGGTTAAAATGGCCAATATTATGCCGTGTCTATTTTACCACCAAAAACAGAGAGAAAAGTACATGGGTGACAAAAGCCCTTGAGGGTCTGATCAGATTGTTTGGTAAAAGCCTAGAATTCTCCACTGCTAAATTTCCAACAGTTTCAAGAGCCATTCCCTAAGCCTCTGTGGTCTGAGAACGCCCACACTTGAGAAGACGTTTCCTATTCTTCCACTTAAGTCACATGACATCTGCCTTGTGTCCTGTTTCCCTTCGCTCACTGGGCCAAGAAGATAGTGTAAGCACATGTTCAGCCTATGCAATGGGCACCCCTGATAGCTCTGCAGACCCTCTCCTTGAACTATGGGCAACTTTCAGAACAGCTAGAAGAGACTTAACGGGACTTGGACACCTTCAACTTGAGCCTGTGCAGCACCTTCTCAGTGAGATTCAGGAGCAGTGTTTCGATGGGAAGGAGGAGGAACAGGCATGGATATCAGGGGAGTAAATTGGGACTCTGTGCTCAAGCTATAAACTGGCTGCTCCGCTCCACTTCTGCAGAGTTCTTACGACGAGCTTGCTTCCCCTCTTCACAAATGAAGACCCTGGGGCACGGATGGGTTGGGCAGCGCGATCAAGACCTAACAGATGAAAGTAAGGGATGGATCCAGGATTTGAAGCTGGGGTAGACCTCTTTCCACTATTAGGCATTTGACACAGCAGATGCTTAATAAATGTTATTTGGTCTTTCATCGCCTCCTCTTTATCAGAAGGCTAGAGTTACTGAAGAACTACTCACCGATGGCTTTGTGATTTCGGTGTGCCAGCCTCTTCCTGATAAGAGACATGCTCAGAACTGCCATTGCTCATACCCCTGCAGCCGGAGCGGTGCAGGGCCAACATGCACAATACAGCCTCGACTGGAGGGAGGAAGTTCAGCCAAAGCCCATCCCAAGGTGCTTATTTTGTGCAGTGCACGCTTCCTTCCCAGCCTCAAGAGTTTCTTTCTAAAATCACAAGTAGGAGGCAGGCCACCCCCGAGCCACCCTCCAGCCTAGAAGAGAAGGTTGAGGGGCTGCAGTCTGCAAGAAATCTGCAGGTTTTAGATACTCAAAGACTAGGTCCTAGGCAAGAGTAAAGCTCATAGTGGAGTTATGAAGAGGGCAAGCAAGTCTCACGGAAGATCCTTGCTTTTCTGTGGCTTCAACCCGGGCAGTGGAATTGCAAAACACTGAGAAGCTGGGGAAGGCCTGAGAAAGAAAGGTGCCAAAGTGGGGTCGGGGGGTGTGGAGGGGAGTGGGGTTATTCAGAGGAAAGGAAAGGCCATTAGAAGCTACTTGGGAGGTGGGCTGGGCGCGGGGGCTCACGCCTATCATCCCAGCACTTTGGGAGGCTAAGGCAGGCAGGATCACCTGAGCTCAGGAGTTCGAGACCAGCCTGGGCAACATGGCAAAACCTCATGTCTACAAAAAAATACAAAAATTAGCTGAGCATGGTGGCACACAAATGTAGTCCCAGCTGCTCAGGAGGCTGAGGCAGGAGAATCACCTGAGCCCAGGAGGCAGAGGTTCCAGTGAGCTGAGATCGTGCCACTGTACTCCAGCCTGGGCAACAGAGCAAGACCCTGTTGCTAAATAAATAAATAAATAAATAAAAAGTACTTGGAAGGGGCTGACTGTGAAGTGTTAACAATCCTTTAATGCACTCATTTTTCTACTCATCACCAGAATCATTTGTGCCACAGCGGTGCTTCTCCAAGCTGTCAGGTGGGCAACAGAGTAGCTTTCTCTGTTCTTGCAGGGAATTTCAGCTCAGGGTGCAGGTCCCTTCTGGTGGGGGCTACTGAGCAGGAGGCTGTCAGGCTGCAGACAGCTGTGGCCTGTGTAGGCTGCGCGCACTCTCCCATGCTGTCAGCTCTGCTCAGAACATGGGCTCAGTCTTGACAGGGCAGAGGTGGAGGCAGACCAGCCTCACTGATTAAACATTCATCTTCTGGAAACTATACCAGGGTTTGGATAGACTGAGCTTTGCAAAGAATGTTTTATGAACATCACTGTTTCGTATTCTTCCTGACAGGCAGCTGAGCCGCCGCGGCACTCCCATTTCCTGTAACTCCGCACAGCCTCCAGCAGGCCGGGCCTGGGAATGAGCCCAGGGCTGAGCTGCCACTTCAGAGAGCTCGGCTGGTGAGCCAGCGCCCTTGCTGGACCAAGGCATCTTGCTTTCAAGCTTCCTCTCTGGAGCCCTCACTCATCCTAATGCTTTCTGTCCACACAATACCCCATAACTCAGGAACAAGAGTACAAATTAGATTTACTTGTCTCTGTTGACCTGAAGAAAATCTTTTCCACTGAGACTAATTGTAGCAAATTCTGTTTTAGATCCCAGCCAAGTACTTCTGACCAGCTCTCACAGACTCACAGAAAAATATGTTTGAGGGTGGAGCTGGGATAGTCAGGTCACATGGTAGGAGCCTGAGGGGCAGAGGAGGGCTCCTCTCCACCCAACTGTCTCTTTACCTTCCCTCTGGGAAGAGGTGGGCTCACCTCTCATCCTGTCTGTTTATTTCACCTGACAGAGGTGGGCTCTCCTCCCACTTTCTCTTTTCCCCCTCTCTTGTCCATTCTTACTTCTCACTGCAGCTACCCCATCAGCTATGGGCCCTTTCAGCCTCCCTGATCTCTCTACCACCATGCAGCCTACCAGCTCCTGCACACCCGTGAGGCCCTTCTCCAGAGAAGGTGGCACTACCAACAGTGGTTGGTTATCTTTTCCACTGAAGACTAATTGGCAAATTCTGTTTTAGGGATCAGCCCAAGTACTTCTGACTGACTCTCACAGACTCACAGAAAAATATGTTTGAGGGTGGAGCTGGAGGCGATGGTCAAGGTCACATGGTAGGAGCCTGAGGGCAGAGGAGGGCTCCTCTCCTCCCAACCCTGTCTCTTTCACCTTCCCTCTGGGAAGAGGTGGGCTCTCCTCATCCCTGTGTTTATTTCACCGGCAGAGGTGGGCTCTCCTCCACTTTCTCTTTTTCCCCCTCTCTTGTCCATTCTTCTACTTTGCGCTACCCCATCAGCTATGGGCCCTTTTCCGCTCCCCTGATCACCTCTCTACCACCAAAGCCTGCAAAAAGCTCCTGCACACCCGTGAGAACCTTCTCAGAGAAGGTGGCTGCCAGCAGTGGTTGGTTAAGCTCCTGAGAGCTTGTGTTCCCTGTTGGGGTTGATGCAGAGTTGGGTGCATTCTGGAGACTTCCATTTGCAAACATCCTTTGCTAACTTAAAACACAGATAACAGCCCTAGAGGTGGCTTTACTGGGAACCTAATGATGCTTCAGGCTCCTTTACTTACACAGCCTCTTTCCAAGGCCTCGTTCTCTGCATACTTAAGAAAAAGCATATCTCGTGGAGATTTGCTTTTTCTTAAATGGGGTCTCCCATGGCATGGTTCAGACTGCTCCAATCCTGGCCCACTCCAGCCATACCTATTGGCACTTTGCCATGCTCTACCTACGACTCGTTAAGAACTGGAGCAAACACTGTGTGGGCCTCACTGGCCAGGACCTTGTTGGAAATGCTCTTGAGTTTGTCAAGGGCTTAAGGACTTGAAGAAGGTGTGAAATAATATTTGTGAAAGAAAAAGTTTAGCCTAAGCCGTTTAATTTTTTCGTGTTCTGTTTTTGTGAGATGGAGTCTCACTCTGTCACCAGGCGGGAGTGCAGTGGCACGATCTTGGCTCACTGCAGCCTCTGCCTCCCAGGTTCAAGCAATTCTCCTACCTCAGCCTTCCAAGAAGCTGGGATTACAGGCATGCACCACCACGCCTGGCTAATTTTTGTATTTTTTTTTTTTTTTAGTGGAGATGGGGTTTTACCACGTTGGCCAGGCTGGTCTTGAACTCCTGACCTCAAGTGTGATCCACAGACCTCCCGAAGTGCTGAGATGACAGGTGTGAGCCACCGTGCCCAGCCCGTAAGCCATTTAATTTAAAAAATCTATATAGAAGTCACTCAGAAATGTTTTCCAAATGACTCTTTGGAACCCTGACTTAACCGATGATAAGCACCTCTCCTACACAGATTTGTTTAAACATCTTAAAAGATGACTGTCTCTCTAAGTCTAGCTATGGGTGTTTCCCCTGATAGAGGGAAGGCTTTCATATCAACGATGAGCCTA